ACTTTTTTAAATGGTTGAAGAAAAATAATATTTTGTGACACTCTGCTGCAAATTATATGAAATCCAAATTTCAGTGTCCATAAATAAAGTTTTATTGGCACACAGCCACACTCACTTGCTTACTTATTGTCTATGGCTGCTTGTGTGTTACAATGGCAGAGCTGACCAGCTGCAATAGGGGTCCATGGCCTGTAAAGCTTAAAGTATTTACCTTTTGGCCCTTGACAGAAAAAGTTCGCTGATCCCTATTCCAGACGAAAGAAATCAAACCCCAACAGCACCATCATCCCCATCTGGTGATTCCTTCTCAAGCGGCCGATTCCATTCCTATTTCTCAGGGGTTGGTGAGAATGAAGTAGACTGTGAATAAACCTCAGTTGCAGGCCAGGCGGGGTGGGGGGTGGGCAGAGAAGCCCTGGGTTCATGTTCTGGGCTGCCTCCCACTCTGTGGGCTCCTGAGCATGTTCATTCCACTGGAGCTGTGTTCCTCTTGTGTTTATTAAGTAGACAGATATAACATCTGTCTACTTAATAAACATGTATCGAATGTCTACTGTGGGCCATGTCAGACATTGTTTAAGGATATAGAAAGATTCTGTGTGTGTGTGTGTGTGTGTATATATATATATAGGTATTATATATATGTATGGTATTACATACATGTATAGCTATTATATATGTGTATGTAATATATAAAACTTTCTGCTAATGATAAGTGCTAGAAAGAAAAATGAAGCATGTTAAACAGATGGCGATGGTGATGAGGTGTTTCTTTAAATAAGGGGGCCAGGAGAGATCTCTCAGTTGTATGGCAGAGACCCCTACGAAGCAATGATATATAATGCATTCCAGGCAGCGGGAACCGTTAAGTGCAAAGGCCCTGAGATAGCAATGCCCTGTGTGTGCTTGAAGGACAGCAATAAGGCCAAGGTGGCTAGAGAGCAGAGCCTGAAGAGGGGTGCAGGGCAGCAAGTGGGTCTGAGGAGTAAGCAGGAAGGTGAAGGGCCTCACAGACCAAGGAGAGGGCCTGGGTAATACCCTAAGAGCAAAGGAAGCTGATAGAGGATTTTGCACCATGACCTGACGATTTGAAAGGAAATCTCTTGTGTGGGGGCTAGATCGGGGCGGGGGGGGGGGGGGGAGTCTCAATGACACAGGCCCTCTTTTGGATCCTCAGGGTGGGATATGATGAGGCAAAGACCTCCTGGGAGGCAGGGAGACGCTGAGTTCCCAAGTTGAAGGGCTAACAAAGGGTGAGGGTGCCATGCCTGCTGCAGTCGGTCAGGGTGTGGCAGGCTGAGGCGCCGCAGCACGGCTGGAGAGGGCCAGGGGCTCCGGTCAGCCAGCAGGTTGGAGGAGCGCTGCCCTCAAGCCTCACCTCCTCCAGCAAGTCCCTATGTCCTCGCTCCACAGCCCCTGAGTCTTCCATCTCTCAGGCCCAGCACGCCACTATGACGCAGCTGTCTTCTCTGAGTCCTTCCTTGTCTGGACCTGGGGCTCCTGGCCAGCAGGGCCTGTCTGGTCCACCAGCACGGAGCTGGGAGCGGGGACTTACCAACGGACTAAGCCAGAGGCTGAACTGGAAGGACAGGCACGAGCAGGTCTGGAGGTTCCGGAAGGTCAGCAGGGCCCAAAGTCTAACTTTTCGTTCCACTGGAGTGGACACGGGCCTACTCTGGGCATGCCAGATCCTTTCCCCAAGGCTTGGGCGACACACCTCTCTCCTCTGCGTAGACTGGTGCTCAACACACCCTGTGTTAGTTACAGTGACAGGTCCCAGGTTCCTCACCACCCACAGCCAAGTCCAAACCTTGAGCTCCTGGGAACCCTTTCATCTCTGAACCCTGCCCTAATACTCCAGTGCCCAGGACCCAGGGAGAGAAGGAAACACTCTGAAGGAGGGCCCACCATGTACTTTGCATGAAGAATCGGTAGTCCTGCCAACCACCCTATAGACATTTATTACTTTGCAGATGAGAAAATGAAGTCAGAAAGGTGATCTGCCACAAGGTCAAGGAGCCAGTAAAGAGAGCCAGTCTGTTCTCTGAACTCTCCCAGGCACCTAACACTTGATGGATCAGGGACTGAATCTGAATCTAGAGTATGTTTGCTGTTCTCCCCTTATCCGCCATTAATAATACAACGGTGTAGACATCTGGAGTGCCCGTGAAGGTGACGGTGATAAAGAAGATATTAGCAAGTACTGGTGAGGATGTGGAGGGAGTGGAACCCTCACACACCACTGGTGGGAAAGCAAAATGGTACAGCCTCTTTGGGAAACAATTTGGCAGATCCTCAAAAAATTCTGCTTACCATATGACCCAGCAACTCTACTGCTAGATATGTGTTCAAGGGAATTAAAAACATAGGTCCATGCAAAAACTTGTATACAGGAAGGCTCACGTAGCACTATTCATAAAGCCAAAAAATGGAAACAATCCAAATGTCCATCAACCGAAGAATGGATAAGTAAAATGTGGCATTCCATACAATGGAGTACTATTCGGCAGTAAGAAGGAAGGAAGCACTGATTCATGCTACGACACGGATGAGCCTTGAAAACGTGAAGAAAGCCAGACAAAGGGCCCCACACTGTGTGATGCCATTTACAGGGAAGGTGCAGAATAGGCAAATCCATGGAGACAAAAGGTAGATTAGTGGTTGCCGAGGGCTGGGAGTACATGTTTGGGAAGAGATGAGAAGTGACTGCTAATGGGTGTTGGTTTCTTTGTTGAGGTGATAAAAATGTTCTGGAATTACATAGTGGTGATGGTTGCACAACTCTGAATATAAAACCCACTGACTTGTATACTTCAAGAGAGTGAATTATCTCAACAATGTTATTAAAAAAACAAACTTGTGGGTTGCCCTTCTCCAAGCTCCAGGCTATTTTCCAGGCCAAGTACAGAAACATCCTTTGCAAGAAGCTTCATCGCCAGCTGCCACTGGATGCCAAAGGCCAGGCCTGGAACGCAGCTCGCTCCTGCTCACATCAGGCAGGAAGCCTGTCTTATCTTCCCCTCTAATACACATTCCAAAGTCCTGACCCTGTCCTCCTGTCGTTTTATTACTCCTGGGTGCACCAGGTCTCCTCAGGAAAAGCCAGAGTGGTGGGTCCCACGAGAAACACCAACCCTCGCAGGCGGGTGGGCTTTCCCGAGCCAGCGCCCAGCGTCCCACAGCCTCGGACAGCATCTCCAAACTGTCTCTTTGGGAAAGGGCAACGACAGAATCATTTGCTGAGAGCCTACTAAGCACTGGGCCCAATCCTAGGTTCTTTCTTAACCCTCAATCGCTCTGAAGGCAGCTATCATCACCTCCATTTTACGTAGGAAGGGACGTTGCCTCAGCAAGGGGCTGAAGTTCCTGTTCTGTGCACCGAGCACTCGCCCAGCAGGCTGCATTCCTCTGGACTTGTTTCCTCATCAGCACAGGGGCACGCACCATAGCTACCGTGCAGGCCAGTGGAGGTAACAGGGTCCCTGGCCCTCAATAAATGCCAGTCCTCAGATGCGACTTTTGCTGGCCAGGCAGAGGGAGAAGGGCTGTAGCCTCTTTCTCCCGCCCTCTATGGCCTGGCCTGATCAGAGCCCTCTGCTCTCTGGACATGCTGCTACCCCCTCAGCCAGAGTTGTTCTGCCCTGCTCTTGAGAACCCACCTCCCTGCTGGGCTTTTCAAGAACGTCCCCCTCCCCTCGCTGCTCTGGTTTGGAGACCCCTCTCATCTCTACATTAACAATCCTGAGGGTAGAACTTGCAGAAGCACAGGCTGTGTCTGATGTCTGGAGGAGGGGCTGTGTGTTGGTCCAGGCCCTGGCCCCCGTGAAGGGCAGACCCGGCTTGGAGTGGATTCCCGCTCCAGGAGGGCAGGCTCCTCGCTTCCCGAGCGCCTGCTCCCAGGTGCGGCCTGGGAGGTTCAGTCGAAGCCCCCAGGGCAGTTTTCTCCTCCAGCTGAGTGTCCTGTCCTCTTCTCTCCTGTGCTCACCCACTGGGACCGGAGCTGTGGCCAGGCTGGCTTCTACCTCTCCTCAATGGTGGCAACAAAATCACAATGCACTCGTTTTCAAATCACATATGGCTTCTTTGACCCCATAAAATAACTTTATTCACACAAACGTCCCTTAATTTACAAAGCCTCAGTCATCCATACACATTAGGGGGATCCACAGTGTTCAAGGAACTTAAATATAATGTATCATACCAACCCAAGTAAACCAAGTACAAAAAATATTCATATAAAGTTGTTCACACGTAGGTCCTAGATTACCAGCTTCTGTGCAAAAAAAGAAAATAAAGAAAAATAGATTTATTAACTAGTATTTGAAACTAACTTTGTGCCTCGGTTAAAACCTCCCTCACACCCAAGTTGGCCCCACACGAATGTTAAATCGTTGCAACATACTCTCCTGCTCTGATGGAGAGAGGCCCCTGGGGCACAAAAGATTTAAAGTGTCCCTAAATAAACACCTTTCGTCCTGCGGCCTCTCATGCAATAAGAAGCTGGGGTCTCCTTTCTGTCAACCCCTGCAATCCTAGGGGAGCTCCGGGGAACTCGCGGCAGTGGATTCGTCTCTTGGTGAGGGCTGCAGACGCTCACATCAGCCCACCTTCCTGGCACACCTCCTGGTGTCCCCGAGGGCCTCTCCAGACAGGAGACCCTGCCCCTAGACCTAGGCAGGCAGGATCAGAGATGGGCTTGTGTTGTCCCGAACGCTGTGCCTCAGCCTGGTGTGCGAGAATGGCCATGGCACTCCCTCTGGGCCTGGTGGCCTGAAGAGCTGAGTGCAAGCTTGGCTGTTGTCAAGTTGCCAGTTCCTAGGAGACTCTGGTAGCCATCTCTGCCTGGGGGCTGCCATAAGGCCCAGGAAGGGGAAAAGAGTCACTGGGGAGCAATAACCCAAGAGCCCCACTTAGAATCAGAGCCAGCGGTGCCCCCAGATGTCTGTGTGTGGGGCGCATGAGCAGGATCAAAGGTGGGAGGTGTACCTGGCAGGCAGGGCTGGGAGCTCAGGCAGCCTTGGCATGGAGCAAGGAGAGGGCAGAGAGGGTCCCCTCCTTAGGGGGTGAAAGCCCAACTCTTGCTTTCCCAAGCTTCCAAAAGATACCCCAAGGCTGAAACCCAGGCATCCATCCTATTAAGATCTGTCTTCTAAGAAGGTAAACAGCCAACAGCATAAAAAGAAAGAAGATTCCCATAATGCCAGCTCTTTTCCTTTTCTTAGAAAAAGACTCAAGCAAAAATAATCATCTTATTGCTCCAAACGCTGGCTTTCTAGGAGACAAGTGATATGTTCAGGAGCTGAGAACCTTGGAGGAAGGGAATGACAGAGGTGGGAACGTCCAGGGGGACGAGGGCTGTGAGAAAGGTGGTGAGTGGTCTTAGCACCGCAGGGCCACGGGGCAGGGAAGTCCAGGGCACGCACCCCTGCCCCTGGCGTCTCTGCCTTCATTCGCTCTGGGACCACCGCTGGCCGTGCCATACATGAGGCCATACATGTCCAGAGAGTCAGAGCTCCACCCACTGTTGGGCACACTTCTCCTCCAGCTGTAAACAGGGTACTTCTTAAGTAAACATTGAATACACTCCCTCAGAAAGGCAGCCATGGTGGGCAAACCATGTCCGGGTGGGAGGAAAGAGTTCCTATTCTCCTGTCCCAATGCCTCTGGGATGAGATGAGACTAAGGCCTGAGACCTTAGTCCCCAGTGCCCAGAAGGGGGTCAGATGGAGCATCTTGAGTGAACAGACTGTGGCATCCTCCTGGCTAGAGGTAAGAAGCAGGGGACCTGCTGGGTAGTGAGACGCAGAGACGCGCACCTGTCTGAAGCACAGTTCTCCTGTCCTCGGCTAAAGCTGCTAGTGAGTGCCCTGGTGGTGGGCGGGGAGACATGTGCCTGGACACAGCCCGCAGCAAGGGGTCGGGAGGTCACGTGGGGGAGTAATCCTTCCCATAGACTATCTGTGAGTGGGAACAGAGTTTAAGTGACAGATGGACCCAGACAGGGAGAAAGCTGCGTACTTCCTACTGAGCCAGGTGGCCTGGTGAGGGGAGGGCAATGGAGTAAGGCACTAAGATCTGTCTTGCTGATTCTTCTCCCTGAAGGGAAACCGAGCTCAGACCCATGGGGCTGAGGCCCGGAACCTCCCTCCAAGAGGCTATCCTTTTCACAGATCCAGAGAGAAGAGAATAACTGACTGCTATTTTAAGGTTTGGAAACTCCTAGAACTTGGACAGGCCTAACAAACTTGGTGGCACTCAGATGACGCACCACAGGGTTGCTGCCAGGCCCAAGACCCAGGTGGAGAGGGTGAAACGGCAGGAAGAGGCGAGGAAGCGGACCCACGGTGGGAAGAGGTGGAAAATGGCTAAGAAAGGTGACAGGAGCTCCCCGAGCCAGACCCCAAGGCTGGGCCACTGACTGGGCAGAGGCAGCGCTCACTCCAGGCTGACTCCCACCTAACAGGCCGGGTGCCTGAGGCGGACTGAGTGGAGAGAGCAGCAGAGGGACAGGGAGGCACTTGGGGGCTAACGAGCTGGCCCTCATGACCTAGGGAAGGAGGTCCCATCAACAAGCAAGGATGGCTGGGAGTCCTGCAGATAAGGGTGCATGGAAGCTGGTTGCCTGTTCACCCGAAAGGTATGGGCATCCTGTGACCCACAGGAGGTACTCTGGTGCCAAGAAAAATAAAGGGGAGCACTACAGCTCCAAGACCTTGTTTAGACAGAGCTGAGACCAGGGAGGGCAGAAAAAAGATTAAGCAAAAGGTGAATGACTTGTCAGGCTTGAGCCCTCACTAGGGACTTTAGAGCATGGGCTGGAGCCAGGGAGAGCTGGGGGTGCCGAGTCCGGGGACTGTTTTTCCCATCTGCTCCTGTACAGAGACAGCCGCCCCCCAGGGAAGCAGGGTGGTGGGGCCGAGGAGGGCACACTGCAATGAGGGGATGCCGCTCAACCAAGCCTCCAGCTGCGGCTCAGGCTACACTCAGGAGGTCGCCTGGGAAGTCAGAGAAGAGCCGAGAGACAGGCGATCACCAAGGATTTCAGCCAAGGAAGGGAGGGGCCTGGGTACCACCTGCAGCCCTGCCGGATCTGCCAACCACAGCCAATCGTCTGCCCAGGAGGAAGAGTAGCCTTAGTATTTGAGGGGTTGGGAAAACAACGTGAGTGAACATATTGCCGAGTCTGGTCTGATGCCGTGCTGGTCTCTCCCAAACTGCCAGCGCCAAAGGACTGCTGCTTTTAGGGGGAAGCCCCCCTTGGTCACACACCAACTTAACTGCCCTCCAACTATCTCTCCTATTGAACCTATGCTGGCTTAGAGAAAACAAAAAACAAAATTAAACACAAAAGAGGAATTCCTTTCTCCTTCCCCAAAGACCCTTTCCTGCTCGGCCATAATCGGGTGAAAAGCCTTTGGAGAAGCCAAAGTTGTTTCCTGGTGAGAGGGACAACACAGGAATAGCGCCTCCCACCCTCCTTGCAAGGGGACAGAACAGACAGTTTCAGAAGCCTGCGAGGGCGGCGGCTGCAAGAGCATCAGTAAGGAGTGTCAGCACGGTTACACAGAGGTGCTTAGATCCACACTGGCGGTGAGGTCGAAGGAGTCACGTGGGGAAGCTTTAAAGTGGCCAGCCCCCAGATGGACACCTAGGGGCTGCGGGGTGTCCACCCGGTCACCTCTCTGCAGGTCCACTCTTTTCCCACCAGACACATTTACATGGAGGGTAGGCACCTAACAGTAAGTCCCTGGGAGTGAGGGAGATGGTGCCTGACACTGTCACCATATGTGACACCATGGCGCCCAGCATACAGGGCACACCCTTCACTGCCAGGAGATGACAGTGGCGGCCAGTTCAGGACACCCTATTCTTATGGCAATGGTCACAACTGGATCTCAGGGACATCGGCAGTCTCTGTGATAACCTGGACATTTGGTGAACACATCTGGGAGGAAGACAATCCAGGAGGCAGTAGGTGGTGGGTGCTGACCTCACAGGAGTGACAAATGCCCGAGGAAGACCCCGCTGTGTCCCAGGCAGAGGTTTGGCACGACAGTTTTTTCCTGGGGAACTTCCTCTGGAAAGGTGGGCTTGCAGAACTGGGGCGCTGGCTGCTCAACTGCCAGGAAGTGGGAGATGGTCACCTTCTGTCCCTCCTCAGAGCTCCCGGTCAGAAAGGGCAGAAGAGGGAATGGAGTCCCCCCACTATAAGGCCTGGTGTGGCCCGGGGCTTCCGACGACGTAAAGAGAACAAGCCCACAGGTTAGACCTTCTTTCTCAAGTTCTCCTGGCCAAACCCTGGCCTTCTTCTTCCAGGTGTTCTTTGCCTCTGATCATTTCCAAGGCCCCAGGGCTAGACAGGAGCAGCCGCCAGAGTCCGGCCGTTCCTGCATCTGGTGGGGAGGTGGCCCAACGCCTCCTTCTGTCTTAATGCCCCCATCCCAGGAGAAATCCCAAAATTCTCCCCGGAGAGGCAGGCCTTCTCTGGGGAAGTGAGGTGTGATACGCAGAGCTGAGAGATGGGTACAAGAAAGACAACAGGGAAATATAAAGGACAAAAACAAAACAGCTCCCAAACCCCTTATAAAAATTAGAAAGGAAACTTATACGTATGCTTTGTCCATGTTGAATTTCTTTAAAGAAACTGGTGCCTGTCCACAGCATAGCTTCCTGCTCTTCTGAAGTCTTAATCGTTTAAATTAAAAAAAGAAAAGAAAAGAAAAAGACAAAAAAGAAAATAAAATTAAAAAAATTAAGTGAAACTAAAAGGAGGAGGAAAACCCAAAAGCTTCACATTGCCGGAGATCCAGCTGTCGGGAGATCGCCAACCGACCAAGCCACCACCTGTACCCTCTGCCGTCCTGTGTGCGAGACATGATGAGACTGTGGGTCCCGAGGATCAACCTGGAAGACAGAAGGCAGGGAACGAATGGACATGGGGGTCAGCGGGCCTGGGGCCTCCAAGCTCCAGATCCCCCAGGAGGTGCCAGCACCCAACCCAGACGAACTCAGGAGCTATGAGGTGCTGGGGGCAGGGGAGAAGGCTTTACCACAACCACCCTGCCGTGGACACAGTATTCTCCTTTTTCAGGTAAGGAAACTGAGCCACAGGTTAAGCGCCATGCCCAAGGTCACATCAACTGAGGGGCAGAGCTTCATAATGGGGAACCCAGGCATGACGGCTCCAACGACAAATCCGATCATGAACCCCATCCCTCTAATGGCTTCTCTGAATTACGAGCACACAATGCCACAGGACCCTAGCTCTCTATCCCCGCAGGCCCTGGCAGCCCCCGTCCCCTCCTACTTCCCGCCCACCCTCTCTGACTAACCGTGCTGTACTGAGACTTCGCAGCAACTCTCTTGAGTTTATTTATCCCGTTTTAGAGACAAGAAAAGGGAGGCTCAGGCCTCTGGGAACCTGCATGAAGGAACCAAGGTTCTCAAGCCTTAAGAGGGGCCAGAGTCCCACAACCAGGGGCAGTGTAGACTCGGAGTCACCCGTGTGGCCCCACACTGCAGTACACTGCACCGTTTAAACCTCACTTCCCCAGGGAACGCCTGCCTCTCCAGGGAGAATTCTGGGATTTCTCCTGGAACGAGACACGGAGCCAGAACCTGTGGCTGAGTTCACAGGGTCTGCCACTTGACCATGGCCAAATTTAAGTCCTTGGTTCCTTGGTCTCATCACCTCTACCCATTCACAGGTTGTTATGAGTACCAAGTGAACTAACACGTGTAAAACTCAGAACAGTGCCTGGCCATATTATTATGAGCTATTATTTGGGAATCGCCTTGGTCCCAGGCCTCAGGACCTCTCAGTGGAGGTTGAGAATACAAGAACCTACAGAGATTAGCCTTGGGCCAGCCCCCACCCCCAGCCTGGCTTTCCCAGTCTGAGCCGTCTGAGCAGAGCTAAGTATAGCCCTACCCTGGGCAGGGCGGGCACCCAGGGCAGCGATGCTCTGTCACACGGACTCATCTGATAGTTTCCAAGTGCCGGCTCTCATTCTGAGCACTGACGCCAACACGTCCAGCACTGTGCGCTTGAAATCCCCCCTGGGCTCCAATGCTCTGGGAGCGCTCTGTAGCCCGAGAGGTGTACCCTCCCAGCCCTGCGCCC